TCTAGGGGAATCGTCTCCAACACCGACGAACGATTGCTCACGAACTTGGTTAAAGTAAATCCGCCCAAGTCACAAAGCTGCCGAAGATCTCGTATTAGATCAATTGCTTCTTTTTCCGATTTTACAGATTTTAAACAGTCATCAACGTAAAAGTTGTCAAAAATAGTTTGCGCTGCTTCCGTTTGGAATATGTAGCCAAAATCGTCAGCCGTTCTGCGTAAAGCGTAGTTGGCGCAGCTGGGGGAAGACGTTGCGCCAAAAATGTGCACCGTCATTCTATATACTCTTGGGGGCGTGTTTTCATCACCATTGGGCCACCACAAAAATCTCAAATAATCTCTATCGGCTTCTGGGACATTAACTTGCAAAAACATTTCAGATACGTCCGCTGTGAAGGCTATCTCTTCCTGTCTGAATCGGAGCAACACGTCCATCAAAGAGTTGGTTAATTCTGGACCCTGTGCCAGAACGTCATTCAGACATATATTGGTGTACCTTGCGGCGCAGTCGAAAACGATTCTTACTTTATCTGGCTTCTGCGAGTGATAAACCCCATGATGTGGTAGATACCAGCGAGGACCTTGTCCCATTCGATAATCAGGGTTCTTATGAACTCTCTCCGCATAGCCTTTACTTATGAGTTCTCTCATTTTTCTCTTGTAGTCTTCCGCAAAAGATGCACACTTCTTAAATTTAGTCTTCAGAGTCTCGAGCCTCTTCCGTGCTACCCCGTAATTATTTGAAAGCATCGGCTTGTCGCTACTGAATGGGAGGCCGATCTCGTATCTACCTTCACGCCGCCGGCATGTTGTAGCCACCTTTTTTAGCCAAAGCCCGTCCTCCACAGATGATGCCGTCCGAGAGTCTGCTAAATTATCTCCTATCTCTTGTCCATTCATTACGTTCCTCACCAGTATATTACTGACCCTCATCGATGCTCTCTGCTTCCGTGCTCCACCAACGATCCATCCATACCTAGTACGAATGGCGTAGGGCCCTCCATTTTTACTCGGTATAACTTCCAGAGGCTCCATGGCATACCCACAATCATTGCCGAGTAGTAAACCAACTTCAGTTTTGCCATCGTACAGTGTGATGTCACTCTGCGCCAAATAGTCCCACGAACTTAAATCATTAACTTGAACGACGTCATCTTCCGACACTGGAATATGGTCCAATGTAAACAATGGGGGGAGGTCTACAGGATAACTGCGGTCTTCATTGGTCATGCGTAATCCTTGAACTACGTATCCTTCAAGTTGGCGTTCACGATCCACGGTGGTAAGATTTAAAGCGATGCGATTCCTCCTCACAACACCCAATTGTTCGAAAAGTTTCCCCGAACAGAATGAATGTGTACTTCCCGAGTCGAGAAAGGCGCTTGTCCGTAATTCCTTATTTCCAAATTTCACCAATACAGAAACGATCGGCAATTTAGCTCCCATGTGACATAACTGATCTGCCGACAAATGACATGATGTAATAGCGCTTGGCTTTACTTCTCGGGAATCCTTTTGGATGTGTAGAACCGTAGGATGCTTTCCCTGACAAATGCGACATGTTTGGCGATTGCGACAATTTTTACTAATATGCCCTTTGCCTAGACACCCAAAGCAAAGCCCTTGTTTCAATATAAAGTTCTTCCGTTCATCTGGCTCCCAGCGCAAAAACTCCGGACACTCATGAATCGGATGTCCTTGCGCACATACCTCGCATCCACCGGCTGAAACTGTGGATTTAAGGCTATCAAGAGGTCTTGTTCCGGAGTGAGAGGGTAAAGCCGACGAAGAGGATGCTGCCAACGAAGCATACATCTGACTATCAAATTGTTGACCGTAAGATGGATTCATATTGATTCGTACTTCTCGTTCTAATAATTTTACCAGGTCGGCAAAGGTCGCGATGCGGGTTTCTTCGTATTCGATTCGGTCGACCAGACGCCGCCAACGATCCTTTATCGACGGGTTCAGTTTATCTAAAATCGTTCGTATCGTTTTCGAATCGATTTCGTTAATCCCTTGTGGCATAGCCTTCAACGCATTCCAAGTGCCTCTCAGAAATATCACAAACTTGTCTAAATCATCGGTTTCGGATCTGATAGATGGCCACAAAACAATTTTTTCGATCATATAAGCCACCGTTTGAACAACATTTCCGTAGCGCTCTTGAAGGAGTCGTCGCGCTTCAGCATAGCCTTCCCCGGGCGGCATATACAAACAGGACGAAACAATGTCCTTTGGCTTCCCAATTGTGTACTGATCTAAATAATACAATTTTTCTTCTTCATCTTCAACTCTACAAGCAATTTTGGCATCAAATCCCCGTATAAAGTTGGTGTATAGAGTAGGGTCCCCGTTAAACGGCTGGAGCTGTAATGTAGGCAGTTGCATCTTTCTGACCAGCTCGATACTTGACCTCTCTATGGATGGACCTTGTCTCGCAGTGGGGTTTTCGTGTAGATTCGGTTCGGCTGGTTGGAATTCGGTTTTTATTTCAGTCGGTTTCGTCGAAAGTCCGCCTCGATCATCGTAATCGTTTCGTTCGTTCGTCATTAGATTTTCGTCGTACTTCTTTCGACTGAATATTTCAAAAACCCCTTCCTTCGCCCTGGCTTGTTCTAACTGCAGCTTAAGTTCCATTTCCTCTTTTCGCTGTCTAATTTTGGTTTCGGCGTCTTCGAGAGCATGCAGTTCTTCCATAACTGCCAGCTTGGCCGCCAAGCCCGCCCTTATGGCAGCTTCACGAATGCGTTCAGAATTTGCGTACGATTGGGAGGAGACAGACAACTGGTCCACCTCCCCTTCACTGCCACAGCTACTAACACTTCTTGATCTTCTAGACATAATTTAATTATTTTAGGACCTGGTAGGTTCGAGTTTACAGTTACCGGTTACAACTACTTTACGTTACCCTTACTTCGAACGTCGAAACATACTTTGTTACTGTTTCAGCTCTTGTCCTAATTGTCAACACCGCAATCAAAAACAATCTGAAAATACTGTATTGCTGGTAACAAAGGTTTCGGACAGACAAGGCTGAAATTTAAGTAGGTAATACCTTATGAAACCCAACTAGGTCACGATAAATTAAGCCACGTCCAAAAGCGCACTTGACATAACTTGACAGTTCGTAGTTTCGTACGATCTTGATTTTTCGTTTCGTTTCCTTCGTTATGTTCAGTTCAGTTCGTTCGTCCGTTTCTTATCGTTTCTTATTCAACTTAAACCAAAACTTAAACAAAGATAAGTCTAACTAAACTTAAAATTCGAAAAACAGTAAAAAGACGTAGATAATATTGGTAACCCAAATTCAAATTTATATGGATGTCTCACGTGACGAGCCTTCTTTCGCACTAACCACTTGCAAATGACTGTTCGGCATTTACATAACTATTCTAATCTTTCATTAGACTGTATGCACATATGCTGCACATATGTACGTACCTACACATTGTTGTAAGGTACAGTCCACAGCAGAAGTATGTGTGGTTTCAGTCATGGGTATGTTCTGCTTCTGAAGCCTAGGAACGATTAGCCAGACTGCAACGAGACTTTAAATGTAGCTTACATGTATCTTTACCCTTGCAGCTACAACTTTATCTATTGACGTCTTCTTTTCAATCAGTCCGCATTTAAAAATCGTCGGTCAAAGCCATCCGTTGAGATTGGTAAAACCACACATTACTTTAGCGGTGGGCTGTACCTGCACATATGTACCTACAAATTAAAACATATGCTGCACATATGTTTCAATATGTAGGTACATATTGATACTGAGAAATAACATCTTTTACGTGCAAATCGCGTGCTACTGCCAATCTTTTACGCCAGCCGAAAACAGCCTAAAAAAACGGAAATGGAAAACAGCAGCTGATTTCAAGTTTAAGTGCAGCTTAGACTGGAAATTGTCAACTTTGCTACTTGTGATGACCTATGGCGACATCGTTTTTTATCTGAGCAAAAATAACAGAACTGCTTTCCATGGACCTTCTCACGAACTATACGAACTTCGATTGCTGCTTGACGATATGTTGCTAAATCTGTTTAGATCTCTGAGGGGCAGATATCATCCCTCCTAGGTTGCCTCAGTCCCCCTGTGCCCGGGACAACTGTCATTCAACGAACAGCACAGCTCAGCTTCTTGCTCCAGCCCAGGTGTCGGCAATCGGTACATTTTCATCAGATTTCGTCACGTTCATTTGCGACTATTTTCCTGGCAGGGCGGCGCCCCAAGGGCGCTCACATACGAGCACTCTCGTATATAGTGTGAGTAGTTTGGCCGGCAGCTGGCGGGCGCCGCTTGGGTAACCTTCTGTTTGCAGGGAGCTCGTGCTGTGTGCGAGCGTTCACTTTCACTTCCGTCCCGGCCCTCCAGCGCCGGCGCCGGGCGGCTGCGCGCCGGGGCGGCGGCCTACGACCCGACCCAGATCACTGGAAAGTGGTTCGCGGACACCGACCCGTGCGCCGCTGAGACAGCCGCCGGCGCCCGAGACCGGGCCGACAGCGATGGGGCCATGTTTTTATCAGGAGCATGTGACATTGTGAAAGGCGTGAGTGGTGACCTTCGCTCTGTGGAGAGTCGTTTATCTGAGGTCAAGTTCTGTACGTGCCGAGCATACAGCAGAGCCAACCACGTGCAGTTTCAGCCCTTATCACGTGGTGGCGAAAGGCCGGAAGGCGTCCAATAAACAGTGCTTGGTTGATGTCGGTCATATAAGCGCCGCCTCATATCCAATATCACAGTAATGTGAGCTACGAGCTCACCCATATAAAATCTATTCAGCAAAATGACCAATCTTCGTGTATTCAAAACTTTATATTGCTTTCAGTATTTTGGTGCTTTCAGTTAATATATTTTCATCGTCTATTCTTTCTGTCGTTTTTGATAAGTCATTGGCTTCCGAGACAAAAAAGGAAAGGATTAATTAAATGCATTTTAATTTAACGCTTTCGTTGTAATTTAAACCATATTTCTTCTCAACACTGATCATTTAGAAAGTCTACGTTTCCACACATTTATTTGTGACCTCAAATACCATACATCGCAAAACAATAATACAAACACCAATCAACAATAAAACGGAGCTAACACTCCAAATCAGGCAAGTCCGCTCGACCGCTTGCCACAGCAGTTATGGAACCGCTTGGTGCGGGAACGGGATGGAAAGAAAATTGATAATTAAAGGCTATGACTGATCTCCGAAGGTATGATTCGGGTAACATATGAGCTGTTCGTTTACTGTCTTGCGGGCGGCACCAGTCGATAAATAAGTCAGCTTCTGAAGCTGCAAGGAAGAGACAGCCAGAAGGGACGCCGCGGCGAAGGACAGCCGCGGAGACGAGAGACGGAGGGATCTCTATTGCTGCTGCCTTAGTTGACGGGCGTGGCCCCGGCAGGGATGGCCGGGCCCCGGAGCGGCGGCCGGCCGGCGTTGGGCCTGAACGGCTGCCGGGACAGGGTAGCAGGCCGGCTCGGCTGCGGCGCCGGCTCAGCAGGGCTCGACGAGAAGCCCGGGTCGAACTCCTCCTCGTCGTAGTAGAGCGGCTCGTCGAGCTGCTGCGGCGGCGGCGGCGCGGCGCCGCGGGCCGGCAGCCGGCCGCGCTGCGGGCTGCCGCCCTGGCGCGCCGGGGGCTCCTCGCCCAGCTCCTCGGGCGACTCGGTGGGCGGCACGTCGCAGTCCTCGGTGGGCGGGTGCACGCAGCGGCGAGACACCTTGTCGAACACCAGCGTGGCCGGACAGCGCATCAGGCGCGGGTAGCCGCCCTGGCAGCTCCAGTAGCGCTCGCACGACTTGCCCAGAGGCACGTTGCCGTTCGGGTCCTCGGCGCACAGAGCTGTGGAAAGACGGAGTGGAGTTAGAACTGGGAATGAGAGGCTCACTGGCTACATAACAATTATGCCTATTAGGTACGCCGATCCATATTACGCCGACATTCCGGCTCATCGGAAATTATACGTGATTATGCATATGTCACGTTTACTGAGCAAAGCATCATGAGTGGTGAACAACGAACCTCACTCACTCAGTTTCTCAAACTTTTCATATTTAACTATATATGATGGCCGTCCTGACTCTGATCATCGAGAGACACTTAAAATGACATCAACGGCACGGGTCTTTTTCCCTTCTTCCCCATTTGGGACTGAAGGTTACTCACGGTGCTTCTGGCAGTCGGCGACGAACTCGGGCCAGTCGCACGAGTGGGTCTTCTCGTTATAGAGCAGACCGCCGATACAGAACTGTTCGGTGGAGGTGCCGTTCCAGCAGGTCCAGTAGCGCGTGCACGACGTCTCGTGGCCGAAGATGCCGTACAGCCAGTCACAGTGCTCCGTCGAGATCGGCGGGTCTGCACGGGAGTTGGTGAGGTTAGCCTGGTGGGGCTTTGGAACGTCATGGTCATAAGAGCGTCTATTTTAAGATGATTTATAGGTAGTCCTATAACGAGATCAATTAAGTCCCATAAAGTTTGCAAGGTTTGATATATGCATGTGTTGTCAACGCTGAACACGAGTAATGCACAATACTAGCAGATCGATGTTTCAAAGGGAATGATTTATGCTATCATTTACCTATTTTTTACGTTTGACATGAAATTATTGCCGTACATTTTAAAATAGCAAATTAACGGCAGCTTTTGGAGCTGTAATACTTCTAATAAGTCAAATGTTATATAATAATTCAGCTTTTATACAGTACAGCCTGAAAAGAGTATCGTACAAAAACATGTCATGAACACTCCCTTTCCCAAAGAATAGTTCTAGAAGAGTACCAGTGTGCTACGTATGTTCACTGAGGGGAAACACGCCACCATCCGACAGGTATACCGATTCTGGTCATCTACAGACCCCAGCACCAACCGAGACGGACCCTGCACCTCCTGCTTCACTCTAATGCTTACCTTTGTTCTGTCCAAACCGTCAACTCGCCTGGGCGGCCCACAGGGACCACCTATCGGAGCACGGCCTGCCTGCCTGCCTGCCTGCCTGACTTTGAGCTGCAGTGCTAGCACGCCCGAAATACATACAATAGCGCCTGACCGTCTGAGCTGCAGCACAGTACTGTTGCTTGTAACGGAGGCCTTTGTGTGAGTTTCTCGTGCTCACGCACGCCTCTCAGCTGGACGCATGGGAGACGGTGGCTAATAGCATAAGGGCAAAATTCCTGTCTTTTTATTTACTTAAATGCACTAATTGAGGAACATGAGCTTGAACATACTTTCCATGACCTACATCTGAATCGTTTAGATTTCGAATACTTACCCAATTTGCCCTTGACGTTGAGACTTTTACTAATAAAACTAATAATAACACAACTGGTTCACTTTTAAATGTGGAGGCTAATTTTCTGGCACTCTTTGGCAAATCCCGTATGAATTTCTGATTGAACTGCGGCTGCCATTTCGCCCTACTCACTTGCGAGCTGTTTGTTGAGGCAAGCGTACGGGTTCTGGTTGGGGTATCCACAGTTATCAAGGAGTGCGGCGCCGCGCTCCGCGAACACCAGGCCGTTGGGACAGTCGACCTCGTACACCTGGCCGGCGCTGCACTCCAGGTAGCGGTCACAGTAGTCTTTGTGCGCCGCGATGCCGCTCTCCTCCTTACAGGGGTCCAGCTGCTCGGCGGGCCCCTCGCCTCGCCGCTGGGCGCCGCCTGCGGGCCAGCCCAGGTCAGCCCAGGTCAGCCCAGCCACCAACACCAACACCACGGAGAGAGGAGGCACGGAGGCCCTCGGCGTAAAGATACAGCTGGCTGCGGATGCTTAGCCCTTCCACATGGTATCGCACAACTATATTGCCTTTGATTCGATGCTAAACAAGCATGAAAACGTCATAACTAAACGATGTCAAAGACACCGTGGCTTTCGGCTAGGCATCGCAGACAGCTGCACCTCTGTCGGGCCAACCACTATCCTACATGCATGCTCTGCCACCTCTACCAGCCGGGAGCCCACAACCACCGCCTCCACTGCTGCCGGTGTCCTCCCGTCCTATGCCTGGGACGGGCGTCCCACTCACTGCGCGAGAGTCCGGCGTCGCACGGGTACTCGTGCTCATAACCGCAGACGTCGACGAGGGCCTGCCGCCCGGCGTACACGAGTCCGTTGGGACAGTCGCGCACTACGACCTCGTCGTTGCCCACACACTCGTAGAATTTGTCACAGTACGACTCGTGAGGGCTGGTGCCGCCGCGACGCTTGCACGGGTTCTCTGAGCGGCCCTGGCACGCGCCTACAATAGCGCCGGGGGTCGGGTCAGGTCAGCTAGGTCAGGTCAGCTCAGACGAAGACTAGAGCTGTAGTGTGCTGGGGTTAGTGATGATCAGAAGGGATGCGATCTTGCACATCAGAGGACATAATAGACACCGCTACACATACGGATACGGCGGTACGAATAACTTCGCGCATATCATTTCCCATAAAAACATCACGTCCAGTATTTCCAACCACTGCTGGGCTTTAAGATTGGTCCCGATCTGATGAGCAGGGCTCACTGCTGTACCCGTTACCCATCACAGCCTTTCCCATCCGTTCCACGTCGTCACCCACCGCAACCCATCGCGACCCATCGACTCGATCAATCCACCGCCGGCTCAATCGTGAGCGCGCTGACCCGGAAACCCAGAACTGCGATCGGCGGTCGCGCGCGTCGCTCGGTCACTGCCGTCGTGCGACCGCTTTCACCGCTTCCCGGGCTGGACAGCCACCCTTTGGTGGAGCCTGGACCATCACAACTGCGACTTATTGTACACAGAGACATGTGAAAACAGATTTAGCTCGGAGGAAACGGGCGAGCAAAACAAACAGAACGTGATGGTGTGATTGGGTTTTTGGTCCAAACAAGAGACTATGTCACGCTGCCAATTAACGTTTAGAGATGACTAAAAAATCTCATCAGAGAGCATTTGCAACGCAAAACCTATAGTAGCGCACAATGAAATTCCCCATTGTATATGAACCTAAATTGCCGGAAACGAGCGAATCAGCAATTTTTACGCATGTGAACTCAGTTCAATGATATTTCCATACAAGGTTTTGACTCTTGGCCTTTGTCTACCGAATGCCCGCAAAGTACTTGAATGAGATTGAAGAACTATTGACTTTTACACGTTTCTTAAGTGACCTTTACGCTTCTGTGTCCACGAGACGCTTCCTTCTTCCAACAATCACATTACAGAGTCATGAACTCATCGCGACAACTTAATCCCTCGACCACATCTTTGCCAACAAATAAACGTTCAGGGGCTTACGACCCTCCCATTTCCATGATCTGAGGCGCCGACCAGTTCGGCAGCGAGACTGGCATCGGTCAGTGAAACCAGTTCCTGGAATGGTAATGCGACGATCCGGCAATGGCACAGCACGGGGACCGAGACCTGAACAGTCGTACACGGCGAATAAGACAGGAACGCGGTACATCGGAGGCTTAGAAAGCCGGACTTCCGGCAGATGAGAACATGGTAAAGAATACACTTGACATGCTAAACATGAACTGCTCTGTGGCCAACTTCAGCATTTATGCATATTTTAGCAATGGCTAATCGCGTCATACTTTTACTTTTGAATGAAATCAGTTTTCCATTCGGAGCAACATATGCGAAGCTATTGATGAATATGAAAGCATTGTATTGAAAAATAACGGCGGTTAGATTTTGCTATTTTTTAACATACGAAAAACAGTAAGCAAAGGAACCACCAAAATTACGAAGTTACACATTTTCCACGCGTTTGGGCCAGGTCACGGTCAGGTCACGGTCAGGTCAACTCACCAAGGTGCGCCAGGCCCAGGAGGGCCACTGCCACTGCCAGTCCCTTCATGGCAGCCTCTGTTCTGTGTCCGTATGTCGACTCCGAGCTTGCCGCCACCGATGCTGCTGTCGAATGCTGCCCGGTGCCGCTGCCGCGCCGTATTTGTAGACTCTCTCGCTGGCGCGCGGCGCCAACTCCTTGGTTGGGAGGGCTGTGACGTCACGCGGGTCGGGTGCCCGGTCGCCGCGGGACCGGACACACTGCGCGGGGCCGTGTGTCCGGTGATCGCAGATCGGTCGAGCTCAGCCGTGGACCGTGGCCGCTGACCGGGGCGCAAGGTATATGGCTATATCACACATCGCAGATTCACTGAGTCGTATGACATGTGGCCAACCGGGCGGGGGATGTATCCCAATGGCAATGACCTCTAGAGATAAGCTCGCATTTTGAGGAGTGCTCTAAAAAGTTAAGGGCAAGGCGGAAGTGGTTTATGGGGGGGGATGCTAGGTAGGATTAATTTGGTTACCTATAGCAAGCGTTCGAGTGGTGTTGGTGGGTTTATGCAAACTGTACTTTCTGCTGCATGTCGATCTAGTTAATTAAAGTTACGGCTTTGGTAGTGACGGTGAAATATTTGAACTGTGTGAATATCTAAGTCATTTTACATAAGCCTATCATGAATGGTTTCCATGTGTCGCAAGCTGCAACATCTCATTCTACAGTGCATCGGTCATTCATTTTCAGAAACGGGAGCACACAGTTTTACGCTTGTCATGGATAACACACAATTGTCGTTTATCTGGATAACTCCCGAAAAAATATGTTAACCGTATCGGATATTTTGCACATTCACCTGCAATTAGGCAGGTCACAGGTCAATGGAAAGGGGTTCATGGTAGCTTCTAATGTCATTCCGTATGTAAATGTTTCTCAACCCAATTGGTCACATATTCAAGAGCAGATATGAATACGGCCCTGTCGGTCCTATGGAGGGACGGCTGATGAATCGATCAGCGTTACCAAACCATGGGCGATTGTAGTCATGATTCAAACCGATCCCAAGCTCCGATGGGCTGTACGAAAAAGCATGTGTCCTCCGCGTACAGTTACTATATGCTTAAAAACGTCCCGGCCTCTGCAGTTTGCCCTCTTTGTTGAATCTTCGTTCGGACGAGCACATGCACGCCTGCCATGTAGTAAGAGCATTGTCCCCGCTGAGGAAAATTCACTTGCAGTCCAGAAGCGAACAGAGACCCGTTTTACCATGTTTCTTGATGCACACATGCTGTGAACTGCCTCTGAGGCATCCTTAGCCGGAATTTTCCTGACCCCTGCTGCAGGTTCTCTGCAGCACGCCCAGCTGTCGCGGTCCACTGCGTTTTTATTCGCGAATAAGCGGAACGCCGGCCAGACATCGTTATCGACGTTCTGATACAGCCGGGCGGTCTGCCGGGCGGTGGACACGGTCGACTTCGTGACCGCGATCGGGCGGCTGAGGGGCGGCGCCGGCCGGCCGGCCGAGTCACGGCGCTGCCGGCCGCTGACCTACTGTGCCGGAAAGCCGTCGCGCCGTGCTCTTCACGCTCGAGCGCCGCTGCACGGGGTCCGCTCGGGCCATTGTCGCGCCTTTGTGGCCGTCTGAGTGGCGCAGATGGGTCCAATCAGACCCGCCCCCATCCCGCCCCGCCCGAAGATCGGGAACAGGGTAGAGCGGGAGCTTTGAGGGCGCAGCGCAGGTCAACGGCCTGAGATAGTTCGAAGAAGAAAGAAGCTGTGGGTAGTTTGAGGCATGACTGAAAGGATAGCTTGGTATCCGAAATAAATTTCAAAGCGATTGGAGAGTTTCTACATTAAAACGATTTAATACCAGACAATTTCCAGATAGGAGTTGTTGGAAAGTAGCGGATGCGGTCACGATGTGTGCCACAGTGTCAACCACTGTCACCAATCACAGCACGGTCGGTCGGCCGAGCGGCGGCTGGTCGCTGAGCACATGACCCTGTCCGTGATGAGGCAAACGTCAGGGTGGGTAGCAGGGTCGGCCACAGCTCGGCGCTCTACATGGAAGGGGCGCTAAACATCATCAGGCTCCGGTCAGAGAGGTGACTGGGCGTTAATCAGGTTCAGTTCATGACACACACATCCGATATCAATTCTTTTAGGTAGGCAAGCTCAGCATTCAACATCCATAAATTGAGTTGTGAACAGGCAGGACAGGACTTCGTATGATGAAATGAAAAGTTAACGTAATAGGAGGCTGAGCCTTTTACTCGAGGTTAAAAGGTTATACTCAGGGGCTTTGATGGAACGTAGGTCAAAACGTCAAACCTCAAAAGCTGTGAGGAAATACGATGTCAAAATCTAAATTTTCACATACCGTGCGTTTTGCAACCACTGCACACATCACGCATAATCTCGGTGATATCGATCAATTATTCTATGTTGCCGGGCTGGGCTATATATCCGTATAGTAAGTTGTTAAAAAGTTAGAAGAGTGTTGCTACATTTAGTCCTGTGATGCCCTGGAGTTCATGACGATCGCGATCTTCTTGGGGCTGTAAAATTACAGCGTATGAAACATTATCGTATAACTCGCTCAATTTGTCAGTTATGGTTCCTTGCCCGGTATAATACGCCCCGGATTACTCATTTACTACGTCTGAGAAACACGACGTAACTCAGGGCTCACACTTGTACGAAACCATCACACCGTGGCCATTTCGTATGAGTCACCAAAGAGCCGCGGCATTTGCCCAACTTCCTCGCGGCGCGGCGGCCAAATCGGCGCCCTGGGAGCCCCTGACGTTACATCACCTCGCAGGTGAACTGAAGCGGCGCCCCGGGGCAGACGGTCGCTCGCGAGCAGCGTCGGCCGGGCATGCAATCGAGCCCGTACAGCGCTGGTGTTGAAACGGAGCGTGAGCCTCGGACGAGTCCTCTTCAGCTGTGTGAGCCCGCCAGCGCCCGGGGGCACGGCGCAGGCGCATTGCCGTCTCGTCTAATTAGCATTAGTGATTGCCCCAGCCCCCCCCTCCCTGGCCAGTCGGGCGCCCCGCTGGAAAACCGACGGGTGTCGTATCATTAGAGAACTTTCACTGTACCGATATTTCGTGTACAGGTCGATTGTTCGGTCGTGAGTCAGTGAAATATTCTAGTCGAGTGGAGTTGGGATCAGTACCTGACTGTGTAGGTCTCGCGTCAACCTGATGCGACTCGCATTTGTGTTCAGCTACATATTTTAGGAAACCGAAAGGTTCAGGCGTCTTGTATAGTTCCCTGGCGCAGATGAAGTGACGGCAATTAGAGCATTTTCACAAGCATTGCACTACGTTCCGTAACTCCGTTTTTTGTTCGTCGCGACTGTGTTCCATGCACGCAGACCGGTTCCACTCATTAGATGCACGGTTTTTGTGTTCGGTTGGCTTTCAGTCACACCTTGGGTAACAAGCGCAAAGCACGTCTGGGTGATAAGTAACACCGGTTCTTTGGTCGCCGGTCCTCGGCAGTTTCTGTCGGGACTGAGAGCAGCAGTTCGACCCAGATCTGAGTCTGACGCTCGTGAGCGTCGACCGGTGAAAAATGGCACGGCGGTGGCGCCGGCTCTGGCTGTGCAGCGGCCCATTCACCCAGACTGGGGCGTCTGTGACCCGGCCCACCACGGGGCGTCTTCCTCGGAGTCGGCGGGGGGTCGGCCCGGCCGGCCGCCCCCAGAGGACCCTCAGCTGCTCTGGGGCGGACACGCGTGAGTGCGTGAGTGACTATGGGTTCTGCGCAGCGCCCGAGGGAAGTGACGCAGCCACCCCGTCTCTGACGTCACAAGCTCTCACGTCGCTCTTCCCACGAACATTTTCCGCTGCGATGTTCCGACGTATCACAATAGACAGTGAAAAAGACCTGCTTGCATAACAAGTCGTGCTGAATGGACTGGTGGGAGGAAAGGCATTGACAATTATGGGAGCAATTCAATGGTGCAATTGAGAAAGAGACGAGTCGACGGTGAAATATTATATGACGAAGATATATGCATATTACCTACCCGTAAGGGTGATGCATGGGATGTGCGATATGCTGCTATACCGCATGAGCAATAGGCCTGGCGAGTCCGGCCGTTGGGCGTGTCACTGCTCGGAGTTTGCACCCGGGGCTGGTCCTGGTCCGGCCCGGTCCCGTGGTCCCGGTCCGGACCCTGCAGTGGTCCCGGTCCGGCTCCCGGCGTCATTACCGCCCTGCACACACCGCCCTGGTCACTCCACTCTTACTTTCGGCGCCGCCGGACCGGCCACTGCCGCTCCAGGCCACCGTTGGGTAACGGTGCTCCGGCTAGCTCGGTCGGTCGGGAAAGGTCGACTCAAGTGACCGGACCTAGTAGCCCCTCCCCCAGCCCAGTAACGAGTCGCTGTCCCCCTCCCCAAACCTAAGAATGAGTCGTTGTGGCTCCCTTCATCAGTCGCTGTGCCCTCGCCGCCGGAGCAGACAGCAATGCAACGTGTCAGCCATTCTTCTGGATATCAGAATTAATTGGTGTAAATCGACCCAATAGGTTTCTAGTGAAAAGTGCATCAAAATGATAAGCTATAATCAAGCATATGTATATTTTTGCATTTTGCTTCAAGGGATATAGTAGCGCCGGGTCCGTCGGATATCTCGCTTGATATGTAACGAAGTTTTATCTACTTCTGGATACGAACATTTTTGTGTTGTAGATGGTCGGGTATAAAATGCATAAATACATGCAAGACAAGCCACAGAGTGCATTAAACGGCAGACTTGTGCCTTTCAGCCTGTTTTATTATTAATCTAATGCCAAATGGCCAGCCTATATCATTTTTTATGCCAAATGGTATGCAATTTTACTAAAAAATATAAGGATTCATTTATCACAATTTTTATCAGTATCCCTTCCTCTCCCTCTCTCTCTCTCTCTCTCTTCCTCGTTCTTTCTCTCTTTCTCCCTCTCTTTTTCTCTTTCCCTCTCTCCCCTATCTCTCCCAGTATCTATTCCTCGAAGCGCTAACGGTACTGATAGGCTAACCAAATACTGATAAGTGTTTGTGCACTGTGCAGGGTTGAACGGTGAAGTGTGCACTGTGTATTGATACCGGCAGGATATGTTTAACACGAAAAGACAACACATCATTCCGCCGGAATGCTACGCACCTTTCACTTGG